GTTTTTTTCGATTTTTTTTTCGATCTCTCCATTCTCGTTTTTTTTTTCATTCTCCAGTTCTCCATCTTCAAATCTTCCTCTCCTTCAAGCCGTCACTGCTCAAAGGTAATTTTATGTTAATTTTTTTGTTTTCATTTCAGTTTTATGTTGCTGATTCGTTGTTTGCAGGATTTGCATGTCTTTATTTTTTGATTTTTACTTCTGATTTGTTCATATAATTTCATATAATTTCTGATTTGTTCATATAATTTCTGATTTTTTGATGTTGTTCATGTAATTTTTAATTTTATTGTTCTTGTTGTTCATTTAATTTCTGATTTTTTTATTTTATTGTTCTTGTTGTTCATTTTTTGTTATATCTATTTGTGAGGTGTTCTGGCCTTACCAGCTTTGGCTATGCTCAGTTCTGATCAGGGTTGTGGTTGTAGTACCATGAGCAACAATTGAGTTGATTTGGTTACCTTATTCATGCTCGTGGTTTCTTTTCGTGTTATTAATTGTGCTTGGTTTTTTTCAGGCTGCTGTGTTGTTGCTGGTCTGCCTTTGTGATTGTTTGCTGTTTGTTGAGCATTTAAAATGTATGGCTTTGTCTATAATGCTCTATTAGTCTTCAAATATACTGAATGCTATCCTTTGTTCTATCAGCTGCATTGTTCTCTCATTAGTGTTTCTGTTTATGTGGGTTAATGCTGAATGCTAGCAGGATTTTTTTATTTAAGTTTGGGTTTTGTTTTGTTGCAAAAGTGCAAGTGCATTCAGATAGGAGTTGTCTAATAGTGTTTAGTATATTTTAGGACTGAATTGTAGATGGACTACCTCAGCTTAGAGCATGTAGTACTAGCTAGGGTTTGTCCTGTGCTGCTGCTGTTCTAATGTCTGGCCAGATCTGCTAGATGTACAAGGCTAGATTGTAGGATCTGCTGGGTGTTTTCTGCCCTGTTCAGAGCAGAGTCTTTCTGGCCATGGTTTGTGCTGTCCTAGTTGATGTCTCTGCTGCAGGCTGGGTGCTGGGGTTGGTTGCTGCTGGTTTTCTAGGGTATTGCAGCTGTGGTTTTGCTGTCGTCTTGTGTTAGCTGGGCTGTGTTGTCTGTCTGTTGCTGGGCTAGGTTGCTGGTGTGCTTTGCTTGAAGCAAGCAGGTCCGGAGCTGCTGTGTTAATTTGCCTTCAGGGTAAAGCTTTTGCAATGACTGTTGATAATGCTCGATCCATGGATGTTATGGTTAACCTTTTGAAGAAAGATTTAATGTTGACTTCTCCTCTTCCTTGTAATGGTAAATTTTTGCATATTTGATGTTCAGCTCATGTCTTGAACATTATTGTTCAAAGAGGTTTAAAAGAAGTTGATAGTAGTGTTCAAAAATTGCGTGAGGTTTGTAAATATATTTATTCTTCAGATTCTAGACTCACTCAATTTGAGCATGCTCTTCATGAGGTTAACTGTGTGTTTAATGGAAAGTTACGTCTTGATGTTGTGACTCGTTGGAATGCCACATATACGATGATTCGAAAAGCTTTGGAAGCAAAGGAAGCCTTGAAATTGGTTATTGATAGGTTTATAGGTTATGTATTCAAACTTTCGAATGATGAATGGGATACCCTTACTAAAATATGTAATTTCCTAAAGCCATTTCATGAAATCACTGTGTTATTTTCTGGTTCAGAATATCCTACTGCAAATTTGTATTTTGCTAGTGTTTTAAAAATTGAGCACACAATAAGTAAAGCCCATATAGATCCTAAACTTGCACCCATGGCAAAAGTTATGCTTGAAAAGTTTGAGGGCTATTGGGATGAATATAGTTTGATCCTATCAATTGCTATTGTTCTTGATCCTCGTTATAAGCTTGTTCGAGTGATGAAGATGTTAAAAGTGCTTTATGTTGATGAGGCATGTGTTGAAAAGGCGAAGGTGATTAAAGATGCTCTTTTGGAGTTGTATAACTTTTATTCTTCTTTGTCTTCCGGTTTTACATCAAGTACAAATGCTCCACCCTCCATCCCAGCTGTTATCGAAAATTCAAATAGTCACTTGGATAATGATATATTCAAGGTAATCAATTTCTGATTATTGTGGTTTACAAAATTAATAATTTTATGTTTTAATTTTATTATTTAATAAAAGCATTTTGTTTGAACTTTTCTAGTATGTTGAAAATGATGATGATGAGGAGGATGACACATCAAATCGGCCATCGATGGAGATTGATTCTTATTTGTGTACTCCTCGACAACCAATTTATGAAGGACAGAAGTACGATGTTCTTAAGTATTGGGAATCTCAAAGTAGTGTGTACCCCATATTAGCTGTTATGGCTAGGGATGTTTTGGCCATTCCTATTACATCGGTAGCCTCAGAGTCTTCTTTTAGCATGGGTGGTCATATTTTAAACAAGTATAGGAGTGCGCTTTTGCCTAAGAATGTTGAGGCGTTGGTGACCACACAAAATTGGTTACGTGGTTATGATTGTGATATTGAAGAAGACGTCCTTGAAATTGGTAAAGAAGTGATAGATGAAAGTTTTGCATCTAATTAAGAAGACATGGATGTTGTATTGTAGTGAACTAGTGATGCTTAATATATATTGTGTTGCTTCATTGCTAAAATGTTTTAATCTCATAGAACAAGTATTAATAGTTTTAGTCACATTACATATTGATATGTTGTTCCTTTTTTTATCTCGAGTTATTGGTTATTATTTATGTCCCGCTAAATATTCATCTTGACCTGCAACCGACTCACTTCGTAAATGATCTGCATCGACCCACACTGACCCACCCAATAACCACTCCTAGTAGTAAGTAGTTTGTAAACGGTTCGATTTATAAGGATTCGGTTCATAAACAGTTCGGTTTATAAATGGTTCGGTTTATAAACGGTTCGATTTATAAACGGTTCGGTTTGTAAACGGTTCGGTTTGTAAACGGTTCGGTTTGTAAACGGTTCGGTTTATAACGGTTCGGTTTATAACGGTTTTTATGCCAGTTTAAACGGTTTCGGGTTAGAAACGGTTCGGTTTATTTTCGGTTCGGTTTCCTTTCCAGTTCGGTTTAGATTTGGTTCGGTTCTAAAACGGTTTAACATTACTCGGATCGGTTCGGTTTCGGGTTTACTAAAATGCGGTTCGGGTCGGTTTTCGGTTTCAAAAAATCGGTTTTTAATCGGTTCGGTTCTCATTCGGATCGGTTTGAATCGGTTCGGTTTCACCGGTTCGGTTCGGTTTTTGACAGTGCTAACTATGAGCTATTGTAACCAATGTGTTGCCGAGAATAAGGGTCTTATGTTATGGTTCCGCGTGCTACGGCCGCGGCACTCCAATGGTGGTGATTGTTGTTGGTTAATACTGTTTTCGGTGTTTTTTTTTACATGGTAATTTGGTTTGCGTATAATGTGTTTTATAAGAAATTGTAATCATAAATAATGTTATTTGAAAGTTGTTTAAAAGCTTGTTTTAGAAAATAATATTAAGATAATTTATAATGAGCAAGCTTTGACGAGGCTCCATTTTTTAGTCATGCTGAGCGTAGCAATTTCGAGGTTTCAAGCTTCACAGCCGAAGTTGTTTGCTCCTTAGCCGAGGCAAACAACGTTGAAGCTTCAAGTTCCATAGCGAGATGGCTGAAGCCGAAGCCTGAAGATACATAGCCGAGGTTAGTAATTCTGAAGCTGTTAGTTGTATGCCATGGTAGTAGGTTTAAATTTCGTTGCTGATGTTTGCCGAAAATTTTTCAGTTCATCACTGTCAATTGCCGAGGCCAGCCGAAGCTACTCTGAGCCGCTGAAACCAAAGTTTAATTCAATTTTTTTAGAGAAATAATCTAAGAAAGTAGTTTATATGGTGATTGCGTTACAATTATTACCTTTGTTTGATTTTGTATTAAAATTATTTTTGAAACAATGTAAGAAATTAATATATGTTGTTAGGTATTGCCGAAGATTCTGGCCGTAGGGTATGGCCGACACTTCAACTGCCAAAATTAATTTTGAGTTGTTGAAAGCAAAATGTTGTTGAGATAAAGTAAAAAACAACTATAATTATAATTTACTATAATTATCAAGTTTTATACATTCAAAATAAACATCATAGTAGTATTTTTTTTCTAGTGACTAACATCTGGATTATCTGCAGTGTTTTCTAAGAACATTTACTATTGTACGTGTTCTTAGAAAACTCATTAGAAATTGTGATTCTCCGACATTGCAATGCTGGAGCAAAACATTTTTAAAACAATTGTTTGTTTAGAGACATAAATTTAAACAGCTAAAAGGAAAGGCAACTTATAAAGCAAAGGAAATCTATGGGAGAAGAATGGATTCCCAAGCACTCTGATTCGTCTTACACCCCAAATTCTGGTTATATCACTGTTGTGAATCCTTTTGGGCAACTTCATCTCCTTCATTTTCACTCTGCTCTTGTGTTGTGAAACGGAGGTTTTTTTGCAGCTTTACTTTGATCACAATCCAAGCTACTCTTTGTGTCTCCTATGGGTCCTGGAGTTATTGGAGAATGCTTGGTTCCACTCATGCGAGTACGACATAGTTCTGTTCATTCAGCAGTTGAAATTTTTGGAGTGTTGGTAGTTTCAGGTGTATGTGTAGTTGAATGTTTGAGAGGCTTATTTGTCAAGTTGTTGATAGCAACTCCACGACCTTCATCAGCTACAATACCTGTGGATAGGAATATATGTATATAAATTGTCATGAATGAATTTTTAATATTCTAGAGGGATTATTTATTTTAATACAAAATATATGGTAAAATAGTTACCTTTTGATGACAATGGGACCTTTTGGAATTTTATTTCTGAAATTTTCTCTTTTCCTTTGTCTTTTGCTTGTGAGTCTGGTTTTTCATTGTTTATAGTTCCAACATTTTCTCCTATTATACTAACTGTGGCACTTCCTTGATGTTTTGTTAGTGTAAATTCTTCATTCTTATTCAAGTCTGAATATTCAATATCATCACTTCTTGCAGCAGTTGGTTTTATTTGATCTTTTTTAGGATACATCTTCAGCAGTTTCAATAGTTTTGAGTGACCATTCCAATACGCCACTTGAACCAAGGGAATTAGATGGACCGAGCTTGAAGAAAGTGATTTTTTTTGCGGAGCTTTTCTTCAATTGGTTGAAAGGCAACCACATCATCCTAGATAATGCATTTGAAATTAGTACATGTGTATCTTATTGAGAAAAAATATTATAAGTAGACGTTTAAAAATGATTCACATTTATATGTAAATTTAATAAAATTATGATGTAAAAGAGCCATACAAGATCTTTCATTGTTATGATTTCAGCTGTGGTTTTACCAAACAATTTTTCTATGTCATTATTGAATGATGTTAATGTTATTGAACCTGTTACATCAACTGCTTCAAATTTGAAAGCAACCCTGTACAATCCAAAAATGGTAAAGTCATTGATAGAGTTTTTATCGTATAATGTTAATTTATTAATTGTATTATTAAATTTAGTTATAAAACATAGAGTTGTACATACTATATAACTTATTTAGAGATTTTAGGTAATTAATGTTACCAATAATTGATACCTGCTAACATTATATATAGTATTTTAATATAAATTATACATCAAGGCATTGTTAAATTGTATCACTGTTTTATTTTAGAATGTGGGTTTTAACAAACCTTGAAGCTGAGACACAATTTCTGTTGTCACACACAATGCATGTAAACTGCCTTCCTTCTGGAACACTGCATTTTTTCCCACAGCAAGAATAACCCGTGTAGACAAATACATTGTCCAAAGCAGCATTTGGAATGATTGCCTGAATCCAGTGTCTTTCTTCCATTAATGCATTTGCAGCCTGTATGAATGTGTAGAAATAATATCAATATAATATGTTGTTATTTTATGTAATCACTCAACAAATTTGTACACCTTTTTTTCTTTAAGTTCTTCAACCGTTTTCATGGATTGTTCTTGGGTAGAATCTCTTATTTGTAAAACTTTCGCTTGTCTATCTTGTAGTAGCTATTTTTGTTTTCCTGTTGTTCATTTTTAGTAAAACTTTATAGCAGTATCACGTGCTAAGAATCTTTCAGAACTATACAAGATTAATCCCCCGACTAATATAGCAATATCACGTCTTCAGTACCAAGTTCTCCTAAATTACGAAGGATAGTAATTTCTTTATAGATTGCATCAATCATTGCTTGTTGAAGCAATGGATAATGCACTATGGAGATGAGCAATTTATATATTGATGCAAATAGCAGGTGATGGGATGCACCTTGGATGTGTAAGTTTATTAGCAAGGATGAGTCTTATTAAATTGTACAATGATTAATAATCATGAGCATAGACTGAGAAGAATGTCGAACCAATTTGTAGAATCTCTTATTTGTAAAACTTTCGCTTGTCTATTTAGTTGATCTAATGGATTTGATGGATCTGTCCCTTTTTTATTTGTAGAATCTCTTGTCATAGAATATTAATCCTTTAGGGTTGTGACTATATATGCTAAACTGTACTATATATTTTTAGAAATTAAATTTGATGGATTCTACAAACTTTATAGCAAAATAGACAAGCGAGAGTTTTACAATAAGAGATTCTGCCAAATCTGTGATATGAGAAGTTCAAGTTAAATTCAATGATATTGAACCAGTATTTACAAACAATGCCCAGCCTGTATGCAATGCACATAAATACAGTTCATGAAGAAACAGCTGGAAACAGTGACAGAAGTGATATGAAGAGAATATATAGTAAAAGCAACCTCTTAAACCATGATAAAAGAACAAAATATGGTGACACAATGCATTTTTCTTAGTTAAGTTGTAAAGTTTCAGCACTACATGTCTTTCAAATTAGAGCATAAAAGAGAATGGTCCTAAATTCGGAAGATCAGTCAATTGTGGTCTGATTGGGAAGACGTAAAGGCAACAAAACCCCAACGCATACAAAGTTGTCATTCAAACCAGCTGGATGCTGTTAAAGCTTACGTTTTTAATTAGAATAAAATACAGCTCTGTCAGATGACTCTGCAAAGATGTATCGAAACCACATATAAATGATGATTCAAGTAGAAAGAAAATTCATGTCAAAATGATAAACAGTTGGCTCCTTTATGGTGTAACAACACTTGTTGGAAACGACTTAAATAAACCTATGAAAATTGACTTAAGTGAAAGTTGGAAATCCACCACACACATAGTTTATAGCATTGTTATACATATAAGGATCCTACAAAGTTTTGAGAAAATTAACAGCTTAAAGAATTTGGTAGATATCATAGAGCACCTTAATATAGATAAAGATCAATGAAACATACATTGAATGCGAGAAGTCTCTTCATCATGGTCTACGCCATCTCCTTGCAGATTTTGCTAAGAGAAGGGGGACTTGTCACCCAACAACCTAGACAAATAAAGGCAAAGAGATTTCATAAGATTCTGTGTTACAAGAATGAGGGAAGACAAGAAAATTTAAACAAACCATGAACAACATTTCTCATATCAAGAACACATGGTAAGGGGTCAAGGTCAAAGTCAAATTAAACATCTTTTTTATTCAAAACGAAATCAACTAGATAATAAAATACTAAGCATTCTTAAAATAATGTATATAAAAGCAATAACCTTGCAATCAATCTTCCCAGGATCAACAAATGTTCCATTATTCTCCTCAATTCCTTTCTCCTGGTCCAGAGCAACCTATAACAACAAAACAAATCAACATCATAAAAACCAACAACCGAAACCCGAAAGAAAAAAAACCCCAAATCTGATATACCTTAAAACCCTTATCGGGAGGGTGATTAAATCTACAATTTTGTCCAAATTTGCAAGTACCCGTCTTCGGATCAAAGGTGCAATCAGCAGCATAAGACCTTAAAGGGTATAAATGTAATTTCTCCTCTTCTTCATCTTGTTCATTTTCTCCACCTTCCATCTTCACATCAACCTCATTACCTTTCAAAACTACACCCTCAAACTGCTGTGCAAGAAGCTCTTCCTCAGTAACTTGTTCATCCTAGTGGGTCCCAGTTGAAGAAATCCCTAATTTAATTTCATTCTGGATTTCAATAGATGAACTGATTTTTTAACAGGTTCCCATAACTTTCTCTCTCCTCTAATTTTTTTTTTAACAGAAACCCCAACAACAACACTACAAATCAATGAGCAAGAAAAACAGAACCTAGTTATAGAATAAAAATATAATATAAAGTGGGATATATAGTACCATATTAATAGCTACTATTAGGTGTGAAAAATAAATGAAAAAAAAAGCAAGTTTATTTCATCAGTGGAGATTCTCACAAGTGCCGCCTTTTCTCTATTTTTTTGTTTTCATTTCTACTTTGTTTTTTTATCTCCAAAAGTACAATCAAAACCCACCAATTTTATTATTAAAATTATTGAAAATATTTTATAAAAATTAAATTGCAATACAGTACTAAAAAACACCTCCTAATGAGTAGCGCTAAGACCCTCGATTTGCTGAAGATGGTTTTCATCCTCTGCTCCGGCCTTTCAACCTTGCTGCAGCCTCGATTTGCTGAAGATGGTTTTCAACATCTGCTCCGGCCTTTCAACCTTGCTTCTGCTGAAGCTGAAGCTGAAGCTGCTGCTGCTGAAGCTGAAACTGCTGAAGCTGCTGCTGCTGAAGCTGAAACTGCTGAAGCTGTTGCTGCTACTGCTAAAGCTGCTGCTGTTGTTGTTGCTGCTGAAGCTGCTCTTGAAGCGGCTGTTGAAGCTGCTGATGCTGCTAATGCTGCTAGTAGCACGATGAAGCTGAAGCAGCAGCTGCTGCTGTTGAAGCTGCTCTTGAAGCGGCTGTTGAAGCTGTTGATGCTGCTGAAGCTGATGTTGCTGATGCTGCTAGTAGCACGATGAAGCCACTCAGGAAGATCCATGTTGAAGAAGTTGTGCAACATCGTTTCCCCACCTTCCCACAAAACATGGAAGGGAAGCTAACTTACCATAGTAAAATGAGCAAAAAAATCGATTGCTCATTTTTCAAATGATCAAAGAAATGTTTGCTTATTTTACAAATGAGTAATTAACTATGTGCTTATTTGACAAATGAGGAAACTAATGGTTTCTCATTTTACAAATGAGCAAAGAAATGCTTGCTTATTTAGGCTCCGTTTGGTAGGGCGTAAAATATTTCACTGAAAAGTGTTTTCCCATTTTACATTGTTTGGTTTGGTGTAATACATTAAAATGTAAAACTTGTGGTGGAAAATCATTTTCCACCTTATTGAAAACTTTTTCCCCCCAATTTAGAAGGAAAACATTTTCCCTCACAATTGAATTTTCAGTTCAACCAAACAATGGAAAATGCTTAAAATGGAAAATCATTTTCCATTCAACCAAACAATGGAAAACTTTTTTGAAAATGAATTTTCCATTGTAAAATAATTTTCATGGAAAACCATTTTACATTGAAAATTTTTTACACCCTACCAAACGTACCCTTAATAAATATTTAAAGAAATATTTGCTCATTTGACAAATGAGCAACACTTTTGCTCATTTATACGAACTATATGTTCAATAAATAAATAGCCAAAGATCCGTATGATTCAATGATAGAATCAATTGCTGCAAGTTTATTTAATAGCTAATTTGTTCAACCTCATAACATTCCGATGACTAATGAAATCAATCTGATAAATAATGAGTAATGTGATTCTGTAGTTTCATTTTATTGCTTTAATTTTTTCCTCTTTCTCCTTACACTTTTGATTTGTTTGCAGGTCATAATCATTGAAAAATTTCGTTCGAAGTATATAGCCTCTTAATTATTTCAAGTGAAGTAAATACTATTGAATTTGTCAAACAAATTGGTAAAAAAAAAAAAAAAGGTTGAAGAAAGCTAGTGTTGCAACTTAAGAAAGCTAGTTTTCAATGATATGATCATAGTAGCATCCCCAAGGGAAAGCAATCTAAGAGCATTCACGGTAGAGAAGACTGAAGTTGATATGCTTTTTATTGGTTACTATTTTGATGTTATTTGCAATTTGTGTCCTTGTCTGCATATAGACAAGTAGACTTTCGGAAGAATCACATTTTGGCAATTGTATAATGGGGAAGGAGGGTATATAAGGAGGTTGGGCAATTGTTATGATGTTTTTAGGATTTGAATAGAACGGTATTAGTATTAGTTTTTATGATGCTCTCAATGACACAAATATGTTTATGTTAATCTTATTCTTATAACCTTTGGTATGTTAATGTAATGGTAAACATTTTCTAAAAGTTGACCTTTCTTCATTGATATTTACAAAAAATTACAAGTTATAAAATTGCAAAACAATTCTTTGCTCATTTATCAAATGAGTAAACTATTTAATGCTCATTTGTCAAATGAGCAAATAATTCTTGCTCATTTTGTCAAAAATTAATATTTATTCGTTACTAATTTGTCAAAAATGAGCAAATAATTTGTCAAAATGAGCAATTAATTTTTGCTCATTTGTCAAATGAGCAAAAAAATTCAACGCACCTTTGTCAAATGAGCAAACTATTTAATGCTCATTTGTCAAATGAGCAAATGATTCTTGCTCATTTTTTCAAATTAATGCTCATTTGTGAGTGTGTTTGAATGTTTTAAATACGTTAGCTTACTAGCTCAAGGGTAGAACATTGTGCAAATGCACAAAAGATGTGGGTTCGAATCCCACGTAGGTTCATTTATGTAATGTGGAGACACAAATTTGTATGAAAGTTTAATTATAACAAAGGTTATATAGTTATAAATCATTTCAAACCATTTTTTTTGCTCAAATAATTTAGTACAAATTTGATTTTTTTTTTAATTAATTTTGTTTATAGAGATAGCCTATGTAGGAATTGAACCTACATCCCCTATGCATTTGCATAATGCTCTACCAATTGAGCTAATAGTTTTATCATATGTTTTAAATCATTTTCTATGTTATAAATTTTTAATCAGCTCATTTGATAAATCAACAAAGAATTGTTTGCTCATTTGATAAAATGAACAAATAATTGTTGCTCATTTGATAAATGAGCAAAGATTTGTTTGCTCGTCTGATAAATGAGCAAAGAATTATGTGCTCATTTGATAAATGAGCAAAGAAATTTTTGCTCATTTTGTATATGGACAATGAATTTGTGCTCATTTGACAAAATGAACAAAGAATTGTTGCTCATTTATCAAATGAGCAAAGAATTGTTTGCTCGTTTGATAAATGAATAAAGAATTGTTTGCTTGTTTGATTAATGAAAAAAGAATCGTTTGCTTATTTGATAAATGAACAAAGAATTGTTTGCTCATTTTAACAAAATGAACAAAGAATTGTTTCTCATTTGATAAATGAACAAAGAATTGTTTGCTTATTTGATAAATGAGGAAAGAATTATTTGCTCATTTGATAGATGAGCAAAGAATTGTTTGCTCGTATGATAAATAAGCAAAGAATTGTTTGCTCATTTGATAAATGAGCAAAGAATTGTTTGCTCATTTGATAAATGAGCAAAGAATTGTTTGGATCATTTGATATATGACCTAGGAATTGGTTCTTGAAGAGCTTACACCTGAAACTACACTCAATTAGCGTAAATTACAAAACTACGAGTAATTATTAAGGAAAATCTTAATGTACACCTGAAAATGGAATACATCCTAGCTATTAATAAGGTATCATAATCTATGTGTACTCTAACGAGAAATTACCTCGACAGTAATGAATATTGAACAACGATATAGTTACTCTTACATAACCAAGGAATTGACTCAAAAGTAACCATAGCTCAACACTAACCAAAAAATAGTAATAACACCATTTCTTTATCACCCACTTGATGCTAGCTTCAGCTATCTTGCAAAATTTCGGATATATATACATATTTCGGATATTTTAATTAAGCAAAAATTATAATTCTTAATTATTTACCTAAGAGTTTCGGATTTTCTAAGTGAAGAAAATCAGATTTTCTTAGTTAATTTAATTTATTATTAACTAGTTTAAAACCCTTGCCATGCACGGTTTCACAGTAGTATTTCGTTATTTATTTTTAGAAAGTTACATACAAAACATAATTATTGGAAGTTAAAAAGAAACAAAAAAAAAAACTTTTTAAAAAATATTCATATGATATACCATGTATCTCAATAAATATTTATCATCTCTATGATTTGAAATTATATCAACACATGACACAAAATTGTACACACCAACATGAATCTATGTCATTCAATTCCTCAAGAACAGTATTGTAAATAAAATTAATTTTGTATGCATGCTGAGTTGGCCTATATTCTCCAATTGCTTGGCCTACCAAAAATCTTGACATTGAATAAATTCTTCCGTCATGAAGAGCATGTACAAACCTATACAACAAAGCTATTTTTCACCCTAAAACATTAACCCAAATAAAAAGTATTTTCAATCAATTAGTTTAAGAAATACTGCAAAATTGAATAAAAATAAATGATATTACCTTAAAATAATTTATATGTTACTTTTTCATCCATAACAACCAATTCAACACTATAATGATCTTGTGGTTTGTAGAAATTAGGAGTAGTTCAAAGACGAATCACTTTTATTCTAATACTCCATGTTTCTTTTGTTGGATTTATTTCTTGAACAAAATCATACTTGTGTCATTTGAGATGCAAGAAAATAGTGGAATATTATTGTGAAAATAAGTATGATTGCTATGAACGTAATAAATATGTTAA